TTAAATGAACATAATTTTATTTATTTATCTTGCATAATTGTTGCAGTATACGATTTTTTGTGCGCGCCATTTTTTTTGAAACACACTGTAAAATATCGTATTCAATATATTTTCTTCTATATAGCTCAAATTAATACAGTATTTTTAAGTAAGTGTTATTTGGCAATCGATTAGTTGTTTTGTTTTTTAGATAATGTTGGTTGTTCTAACCACGAGTTAAATAAAGCATATCACGATAACTCAACCAACAAAAATTTAACTTGTATAATTGTAAAAATTTTTAATTTGTGCGTTTTTGAGATTTTCAAGATCTTTGTTAAATAATTTACATGTTTACTGATATATTTTAATAGTAAGATCATTTTTGTATTAGGTTGTTAAATAAAATTTTCTAATGATGAAAAACAAGTTGACATTTTGTTGAATACATTCATAGTAAAAAATTTTGGTAATATTAACGCGTAAAATTTCAAATTAGTTATGTACTGACTTTGGCCGTAACTCATCAGCAGCAATAATGAAGCGGTTGGATTGTCGATGAAAACTTGATAACTTAGATTATAAAAGGATTGCTGGTAAATTTTTTAAAATTAATTTTCTCGAAGACGATATTTATTTTATTTCTTTAGATGAATTCTGTAACAATAAAAGAGAAACATTGATAGAATGTTCAATGTTTCCGATGCCGAATTTATATTATAAATCAGGCAGAACTTTCAGATAAATGAATTTAAAAAAAATTCCAAACAAACATCAATTAAAGAAAGTGAAATTGAACGTTTTAGCATTTTTAACGTTTATAGGCATCAAGTATACCATATAATTCTGGTGATTATTTATGCAAAAATAGAAACCAACATCAAAGTAAGTTCAAATTCTCTATATACATTTATAAAGAATAGGTATTATTATTATTATTATCTAAAATTCTATTTTTTATCATTATCATTTCCTATTATTAGATTTTAGAATTTGAGGCGTGTGTATATTATGTTAAATGGGACGGATGGCGGTAAACATAACGCACAACAAATTATGACCTTTGTGATATACTTTGTTCTTTACACTTATATATATATATATTAATATAAA